AAGGAAGAAATGTGCACACAGACTTGTGACAGCAACAAGCTGAAAGTCTAGAGAAGTGAGCTCTCTTCACACATCCTAGGTAGTTCCTCCATTCATCGGGGCCAATGCAGCCCTTGAATCATATCTGTTCTCTCATTGGTTCTGCATGACTTAAGTCTTACATATCCTTTAGGACTCTTGTTACTGTCTCTGTGTAGATGTTACTGAGATTCCCAGTATGGCTTAGATGCTCCTAAGGGTTCCCTAGGTAACCTTATCAAAACAGTCATCATCCTGATTACACCATCTGCTGATAGCTCAATAGAGGGAGGAGCCATGCTTTGCTCACTTTCGATTTCTTAATACTTACCTCAGTGCCTGACTTGAGTAAGGACTCAGAAAAGATGAAGAGCACACACCTTGAGAATCAGAGCTCCCACAAGTAGGATGATTATAGGGTAATGTTTCAGTATTGATACAAAACAAAAGCAACAAACCACATTAAGAAAAAAACAAAACAAAACAATCCACATAGGATATCGTTGGGGATTTGGGGAACTCAAGACACTTTGGGCAAGAAGAATGCTGGTAGAGATACAATGACTGCCACAGAAGGGGGTAAAGTGGGGTGGGAAGTGGCAGGCTAAGAGCTGGCAGAAATGATTCTGGGTCTGGTTTTGCCACTCTCACTCCCTGTGTGGGTGGCCTGGGAGAATCTCTTCACAATACCATTCACTCATTTGCAAAATGAAGAGGTGGGGCCAGACTAGATCCCAAAGCAAGATCTTGTCTGGCTTTAAAGGTGTTTGATTTTACCACACCTTAGCAAAAACAATTTGCAAGGCATTTCATCTAATTTTTATATAATTTATAACATTTTATGTATTCTTAAAAATGACCCTTTTGTGTTATTACTTCAACTTGCATCTCACTTTTTCCTTGGTTGAAGGAAAATTTCTTTAAAGCCTTTCAGTGACTCTCAATGCTGTGGTGGCTCCTGTGTTAGAGTTAAAAGCAAAAATTATCTTTGTTAAAAGTCATTATAGGATTCTCATAAACATCGAAAGGAGAAATCTCTGTACCAAGGGGATAATAAATTGGAAAACTTTGCAGTGACTTTAGTCATTTTATTTTTAGTGAACACAGGCCATTAGTTGTGTAGACTTACTGCCTAGGAATTGCTATCTCTCAATTTTTGTAGCATTTGCTCATGCAAAATGGCCAGTGGAGGAACTTGACACTGATCCCTGGGCATGTATTGCTGACACTGCTGAGATGTGTTTAAATGCTTGGATTGGCTTGCAATCCAGGGAAGTGGCAGTTGGATGGTGGCAGTCATCTTTGGAGATACCTCAGCCCAGATCAGTGTCTCAGTGACTTTAATTGGCTAGAGATGAATCGCAGAGCACCTGGTGAGATTTGCCATGAATATTTCATTTTTAAAAATCAGTGATTAGCTGGGTGCCGGCGGCTCACGCCTGTAATCCTAGTTACTTAGGAGGCTGAGATTTGAGGATCACGGTTCAAAGCCAACCTGGCAAGGAAAGTCTGTGAGACTCTTATCTCCAATTAACCACCAGAAAACCTGAAGTGGTACTGTGGCTCAAGTGGTAGAAACTTGCCTTGAACTGAAGAGCTGAGGGACAGCACTCAAGCCCAGAGTTCAAACCCCACAATCGACAAAAAAAAATAAATCAGTGATTGTTTTGTGCTCCAAAGTTCTCTCTGTGTGGCCCTTCTTTGATACTTTTAGTTTAACATCAAACAATGGTTTGCAGCTTATATGTGCTTTGGCTATTAAGGAAGGAGTGCATGACTCTCCCCATTGCCAAGGAGAATTTCTGAGACAAGAGCCAGGTGCAAACTTAGACGGGAAGGTAGATGAGTTTGGACTCTCATACTGAGGATTACCTGTGAGGAGACGGTGGGGTGGGGGTGGGAGACTGTCTGGAAGGGAGGGGCTGGCTGGTGGGAAAGCCTCTCAGGTGTCAGGTGTGCACTGGTTTACCTTCTTCAGCAGGTCCCTGGATCTAAGCCTTACATTGCAACACAGTATTAATGTGTGGTGTAATTAGGTGTATTAAACACTCAATGAGCTTGCATTCAGAGTCATTTGGGCTTAGTGTATCCCCAAATACTATAATGAATCAATGGTAAAAGGAGCATTTCCTTAGCCTTTGGTCCTCTTTCTGCCTTCATTTCTAGGTGCTGGCAGTCAAACAGCCTCAGCAGATGAATCCATGAACACACACATGCTTTTTTCCCCAAACACACGAAACCACTCTGTTGTTTGCTGCCAACTATGCAACAATGATTCTACGTTTTCTTTTTCTGAGGAAGTAAATATATGTTGAGGAGTATTACTTGTACTTGTTAAAGCACTCTGAATGTATTTTCATCTTATTCTCAGCCTGATTAGGCCTTCTGTTGCTGAAGTATCGAAAAGTTTGAAGGCTTTCTGGGTTAGGGTTAGCTATTCGGTGAAGAAACAGCTCATGGCTTCAAGTTTATGTTGTGCTTTTGTTGTCACTAACTGAGCATTATCAACAGTACCTTTGCTGCCAGTAAGTCCGTGAGCTGGACCTCTTTTTCTGAAAGTCATGTATACACCTTCCTCCAACCTGCCATGAACAGTTTCTAAGAATCTATTTGTTGGACAAAGGAGTTTCATTGTGCTATTTCCATACATACATAGAACAGAGTGATCAAAATCACGCCTTCTGTTGCTCTTTCTTGTCCCTTTCCCCTTATTAAACCAATTTTCCTGGGTTCCTCTCCTCCCTTCCCTTCCCTTCCTCTCCCCTTCCCTCTTCTCCTTTCCTCCCTTCCTGTATATTTCCTCTTTTTTATCCCCTGCCTCTCCCCCTCTCTATCCTCCCCTCCCCTTTCCTCCCTTCTCCCCTTTCCTTCTCTTCTCCTCTGCCCATTTCCCAATCTTTCTTCATCCTCTCCCTTCCCCCTCTTCTTTCTTTTTCTTTCTTTTTTCCTTAATACAGAGTTATAAATTCAGGGTCTTACTCTTGCTAGGCAAACACTCTACCACTTGAACCACACCAGCCCTTTATAGATAGGGCCTTGCTTTCTTGAAGGGGCCAGCTCTGGCCTGTGATCCTCCTCCTTGTTTGCTGTATAGTTGGAATTACAGACAAGCACCACACTGAGCTTCTCTGCTGGGATGGAGTCTTGATAACCTTTTGCTTAGGCTGACCTGGATCCTCCTGATTCCAATTTCCAGAGTATCTGGAATTACAGGTGTGAGCTACCATGTCTAGCTCATCATTCCATTTTCCTACAAGCGTATAAAATGGGAAGAGTCTCTTTGAACTTCCCCCGTGGTAGGCACTCTTCAGGTTTCTTCTTTTCTATTTTTGTCTCAGCCTATCCTACTGGGTTTGGTATGCACACAATCTGATCCACAGGGTGTGATGTTTTATCCCTGGCCACAAACCTACCACAAGAGGGGAAGGAACAAGGCTGTGGGATTTAAGCAAAAGTCCAATGTCCCCCATAACTTTAGGTTAGGCATGTTGGACACCTGCTTAGTACAGGTACAGTGTCCCCGTGGTACTTACCGGGGACAGAGGAAGTCAGTGGGGATGCCCAGTGAGCATGTATAGGGTGAAACATAGTTACTGTTTTGGTAGTGAATTTATGTGTCTAGACAGTGAGATGCAGTATCATCTTTCTAAGTCCATCTCCCACACAACAAACCTTATGACCCGCAACTAGAGAATTCTGAAAGTGTATTTGAAGGCCAGGGGGTCAGCTCCTTGCTATCCCTCTGGATCTCTGCGTTTAGAATTTCTGTGCAGCCCTCAGGTGTAGAGCCTCAGGTCTGGCCCTGTCCAGGAATTTGATGCTAACACCTTTCTGAGTCCTGGCCAAGAATATTCAATCTCCATCAGTGCAGCTTTCTGACATGATGGCACATGTCTTGCTCAGAGACGTTTAAGGTCATGTTGATACTCTGTGTCTGTGTCACAAACATCATCTCTTTTCCTGTGGGTCTCTCTGTATCTTTTCTCCAGGGCCCACCTAACTCCAGTATAACCTCATCTCTACTTAAAGCTGCAGAGACCCTAATTCCAAATAGGGTCCCATTCACAGGGACTGGAGGTTAGGATGTCAGCTTGTCTTTTTGGAGGATGTACTTCATTTTATAATAATTAATAAATAATAAGTTAAATCACACAAAATGGATCTAATTTGACCTTGAATGAAGCACAAAAATGTCTGTTTTGTATGATTTAACCAGCATCCTGTTTGAAACACTATATAATAAACACTGTCCCAAGGATTTAAAACAAAATTAGTTTTTGGTGGTGGTGCTACTAGGGTTTGAGCTCAGGCCTTTGAGCTTGCTAAGCTGACATTCTACGGCTTGAGCTATGTCTCTGTTTTGCTCTGGTTATGTTTGGGAGAGGGTCTTGCGTTTTGCCCAGGTTGGCCTGGACCACAATCCTCCTATTTATACTGCCCATCAGCTGGGGTGACAAGTGTCCTGGAATGTCACCACATGCAGCTTTTCCAATTGAAATGGGGGTCTTGTGAACTTTTCTGGTTAAACTGGACCTGGAACTTTGATCCTCCCAATCTCAGTCTTCCACTTGACAGGGATGACAGGTATATGACCTCATGTCCAGCTACTGGTTGAGATGGACTTAGCAAATGTTTTGCCTAGCTGATGGTGAACTGCAATTCCTCCCAATCTCTACCTCTTGAGTAGTTAGGATTATAGGTGTGAGCCACTGCTGAGCTACCAAGCACGCAGACGTGGATTCAGACAGTCTGCTGTTCTGACTACGTGTTGAGGAGGAGGCGGGAGGGATGGCTCCAGGCTAGGCCGCTGCCAGGATGTTTGCCCTGAGGCTTCTTCTTGAATTTACCCAATCTTCCTTCCTTTCTTGCACCTGCGGTCATTCCTTTTGCTGAGGAAGAACTCTGTGTGTGTTGGCAGCACACAAGGGGAGATCCTGAACCGTGTCCTAGGAATGGCCTCTCTCCCTTGTCTGTGGTTGCAGGCCCCATGGACGCCCTGAGACTGGCGAATTCGGCTTTTGCTGTTGACCTGTTCAAACAACTGTGTGAAAAGGAGCCACAGGGCAATGTCCTCTTCTCACCGATCTGTCTGTCCACCTCTCTGTCACTTGCTCAAGTTGGTGCCAAAGGTGACACAGCCAATGAAATCGGGCAGGTAAGCACCTATGCTTTGCTGTGTGTGTGTGTGTGTGCGTGCGTGTGTGCGTGCGCGTTTATGAGAATCCATAGGCAGGGCCTATGGGAAAGTGGAGACGTTGTGGTTAGAATTGCTCAGGATTGAGAGGCCCAATGTTAGGACTCTTCATCTGTTTTCGAGTGTGGAGGTTTTGTGCCTGCAACCCCCAGTTGAGATCCCGCACCAGATCATGATGGAGAGCCTGCAAGCTGCTGGGCAGGCACAGCCGTCCCATTGCCAGTGTCCTTGGCAAATCACCTGACACCTTTCACGCCCGAGCAGGGAGAGATGGTGGGGTTTGCATGTCCCCGCACTCACGTCCACTGGGAGAGGCAAGGCTTTCTCACGATGCACTTCATTTTTCTGTTCACAGGTCCTCCACTTTGAAAATGTCAAAGATGTGCCCTTTGGATTTCAAACAGTCACCTCAGATGTAAATAAACTGAGTTCCTTTTACTCTTTGAAACTAATCAAGCGGCTCTATGTAGACAAATCGTTGAATCCTTCCACAGTAAGTAATATAAAGCAATCAGCAGGATTTATCTTTTAACCATGTGGGCCATTACACACTGCTAGGCTTACAACTTATTCATTTCTAAGGTATTTATGTATGATGCAGGTCTGAGTGAGAAGTGAATGCACTGGGACTCAACCACAGTTCACACCATCTAGTTCAGAGTCTAGAACAAGCTGGTGTGCTTCCATTTACCCTCTTAAACCCTCAGAAGTCCTGCTTTCTCCTGTTCACCTATCTCATAAAGCTATTTCAATTGATAATGGCTCAGGATAAATTCCTTCATCTTTAAATAGCTGGAATAAGTCCTGACAATGTTTTAAGCACTTCATCTGATTTGGTTATGAATACAATATGTTTCTGGTAGTTCTCTAAAATCAATGAGAAAAATAAACTACAATGAATTCACAGTTTGCCTTCATTAGAAATTAATTTTGTTTTTCTAGGCTGGTCAGATTGGCATCATCAGATTGACAAAGCAGGTCTAATTATTTAGTGCATCCATTTCTTGAAACAGACATCTAAACATTGTAGTTCCCTTATATTGGACCCCCTGGTATAGTTTAATTATCTGTATTTAGACTTATAGTTGCACTCAGGAGCCTGAGATCTGAGGATCCTGGTGTGAAGCCAGCCTTGGCAGACAAATCAGAGAGACTTCTCTCCAGTTAACCATCAAGGAGCCAGAAGTGGGTGTGTGGTTCAAATGGTAGAGCTACAGCTTTGAGTGAAAAGGCCAAGCAAGAGTTTAAGCTCCTGTACTATCTCAAGAAGTAAAAATAAAACACATAATGAATGTTCTAGACTATAGGGCAGTTGCCTCTCTAGGGAATGGTTTGGTTCCTGATTGAATAATCAGCCTTTCTAGTTGCCCAAATCTAAAAGCTTGACTACTAAGCCAAATATTTTTGCCATGCTATCACAACTTTAGGTTTTTATTTTTCAGTTGAGACTTTTTAAGAACAGAAGTTAATAAATATTGTCATGAGTTTTTTTTCTTCTGGTGGCTTGAAGACACACACACACACACACACACACACACACACACACAACTGTTTTTGTTCCAACCATCATCTGGGAAATTAAACAAAATTGAAATGTGAGTTGAGGCTGGGAATGGAGAAATGTTAAAGACTCCCAGGTGGTATTTGAGGATATGCCTAATAAATTACCAGTGGTTGAAGTGAGAAATAGAAGTTCTTCATCTCGCTGAGGCGTTCTGATATTCTTAGTGCCTGCCACAACTAATGGCATCAGTCAGCCCCAAGGCTGGGTTGCAATTAACCAAAGCCAAGTTAATTGGCTAAGAGTGCAGTGTCCCTGTGTTTGGGAGTGAAGTGACATGATTCTCAGTCATATTTAGTTTCACCGACCTTTCTATTCAGTGTTTGGAGTTCTTTCAACCTGATTAGTCCATCTTCCCCCACTGCATTCCCTTGCTTTTGTTGGTATACAGCACCTGCAGATTTCCCAGTTAATAGTCCAAACAAGTGTGGGTTGAGAAGGCCACCTACATTCAAGCTACTTGGGTTTTTGTTTAAAGGACAAATACTCAGCCTCAGATCTCTTAAACTAAGTTTGGTGGGTTAAGGTGTGGGCTTTTGCATTTTAAGAAGGCATTACAGGCAGAGACACTGCTGTGCTTTCCATATCACTGTACTTCTAATGGGCAGACAAAACATGTGGGCAGTGTGACTCAGGGGGTCTAGGACGCTCGCTTTCTCACATGGTTCCAGGTGACTCAGTGGCTCCTAATTCTTGGACCATTCTTTGAATATCAAAACTCTATAGAATATTTGTTTTAGTGAAGATAACTTTTCTTGTCTCTGTTCTCTTTTTGTACACATCTCTGCTTTTCTATGACATGTGTTTTGAATGCTTTTGAAATTAAAGTTCATGTTATAATTGTATATTATTTGTGTTCTCCAAAAAAGCCCATCATGTAAGGGAAGAGTGTGTTGAATCATTGATACGGTCTTATAATTGGGCAAAATGAAACATGTAGTGTAAAGAAAATTAAGTGATTGTTAAATGAGGTTTTTCCATTCATACATCTGTATCCTTGGTAATAGATGCTTAAAAAATCCTTTTGTTGGCACAGCTAAGCAAAGCTAGTGCTTTGTGACTCATTGAACTGGGTGTTTTTCAGGAGTTTATCAGCTCTACAAAAAGGCCATATGCAAATGAATTGGAAACTGTGGACTTCAAAGATAAACTGGATGAAACAAAAAGTCAGATCAACAGCTCCATTAAGGAACTCACAGATGGCAAGTACCTCTATTTGTTCTGTTATAAGTGGCTAAGTCAACAGGTCAACTTATCCTCACGAATCCTTCTTCTAAATTTGAACATCCAGAGAATTCCTTGGGATATTATTAGCACACAGCTATATTCTAGCCCATTGAGGCCTGTCAACAACTTCCATTTCTGGGCATTACTAGTATTAACTCAGTCCTCAGCAGAAATCTCAGGTGCTCCAGTGTTAGTGAACCTCTCAACATTCTCCCACAGGCTCCACATACCCCCGTGGAGGCCCAGCTCTACAAGGCTTTGCTCTGAGCAGATCATGAAGCTAGTTTTTCAGCGTGGAAAGGGAAGGATTGACATGAACTTGATTTTTAAAGCTGCTTCCAGTGAACAAATTATACCAATTTTACTAATGAACATGGACAATGAAAAATCTTATGCAAAAGTAAACATAGAAAACCAAACAAAATAGAAGGATCCAAATTTTAAAGCAGCTTTTCCTCAGTTTCCCAACTCCTCATGCAGGTCTGCTAGTCCGAGGGCCTTTCTTCAGCAAGCCTCTGGCTCTGCTTCCAGATGCTTGTTTCCAGGCCACTCTCTGCCTGATCATCCCCACGCTAAAATTTCCTTAGTTGTTTTCTTTGATAGAAAGGAATTGGAACTAAGATGAGTTGGGTTGAAAAATCAATGACCACGTCACCTTTCTTAGGGCTGTCCTGACAGTGTTTGTGTGGTAAGGGACAGCTTTTGGCCTCTGTGCTGAGCTCCATTTCTTCAACTGTAAAATGAGGATAATGGTCTTTGCCTTATGGGACCCCTGGGAAACAAATGAGGTAATGGATGTGAAAGGCAGAGCCCAGGGCCAGGGAAGAAGGGGAAGGTCATACATTTCCCACTCAGGAGTGAGAAAGAGCTCTTTTCCAGTCCTAGGTCTCTGCTCCCTCAGGTGTGGCAATCCAGAGGGAGAGAAAAGACTTCTGAAATTCATGGGCCTTGCCTTCCAGGGCTCACATTACACAAGCTGAACTTACGCGTTCATGTCTGATGTAATTTGGAAGAACTCTGCCATGTGTGATTTTCTAAAACTCATTTGTAGGTCACTTTGAAAACATTTTGTCGGACAACCGTGTAAACGATCAGACCAAAATCCTAGTGGTTAATGCTGCCTACTTTGTTGGAAAGTGGATGAAGAAATTTCCAGAATCAGAAACCAAAGAATGCCCTTTCAGAGTCAGCAAGGTATGTGGCCACATAAAGTAGTAAGTAGAGTTTAAAAACTTAAGGTAATAGGGCATGAGGGAGGGACGTGGTGTGTGTGTGTGTGTGTGTGTGTGTGTTCAGGAATTCACACCTGTGAGGGAAAGGAAAATACAGGGAACTCTAGCAAGGAAGGTAAAGAAACCAAAGCAATGCCGAAACCTTTGCATTCTTAGGAAATCTCAACTATTTAGGAATCTTTCCCCGATTCACCAAATTCTCTGTGATCTCATTTTCTCACATGTTGATGAGATCACCTGTTGAGTGAAATGCGAGGTTCAAGTTTCTTTTAATTTACTTGTCTCCTGACTTACTTACTGGGTGAAGTTCACAGCCTGGTTTGGTTATTTTAGTATTTTAAGCTGTCACTTTTAAGGAGTTAATTATCTGTGAAGAAAAATGATATACACTTCCTCATCTGCATCACAAAGTTCTTCATAACAAGAAGCATTAGAAGCCTGTCTTTCAGGGCAATCTCATGAATACTAGTGAGGGGGACATGCCAAAAGCAGCTCATAGACATATATGAAACATCTGTCTTACAGATGAAACCAAAGAACCGAGACTGGGCATTTGATTTATTATTATTATTACTTTTATTATTATTACAGAACCTAGGAAAACGTAGGGAACTTTATGATGTGGTTTGGACTCCTCTGGCGGGACATGGCTTGTGTTAGTATCTACAGCAATAAATACTTCAGTTATGATACTTGAACATATCTTACTTTACCCATAGCTTTGTGTATCAATTCCAGCTTTCAGGCTACCTGTCATCAGTCCCAAGGTATATCACCTTCTTATTGCTAGAATCTAGGAGAAAGGCTTTTCTAGATAGAGCCTATGGCTGGGTCAGCTGGACTGCCTCTCATCGCTGCTTTTTTTTCCACCCTAGAATGTTTATTCGTATTCACTCATCCCTCAAATGTACTTTTCCCAGCAAAATCGATTTGCTGATCTGGCCCTTCCACTCATACCCAGGGGGCAGGTGTTTTTCGTCTCCATCACAGATCCTAGCCACATCCCCAACACATCTCTAGGTGCTCTGTAAGTTTATTGGCGGGATGACCAATCGGTCCTCCAAGGCTTGATCCTCGGTGTGATTGAACACTGTGAGTCAAGACCTGATGGGCTTTCAGAGTGCTTTTGCAAAAGCGGGGGACTGGAGCCACTGCTCTTGCTCCTTACCCACTGCAGTGGGTTCTGGAGGGAGGCAGGAGGCCTGTCCCCACTTCCGAGCTTCACTTGTGCCAGCCCTGGTGCCCTCCAAGTTGACTTGGGACAGGAATGACTTTTACCACCAGACGTGTGCCTGAGACATTAAGGACACACTTTTCAGATGTTTTCCACATATAGTTCTTAGACCCACCTCCAGCCATGTTTTGCTTTGGTTATTCACACCCCCCTCCTTTGTGGTAGCATATTAAGGACTTTAATAAATGCTGAAGTTTGTTTCATGGAAGGGTGCTCTGGTTAATTTTGAAATGGGGTCTCACTTTTTGTCCTGGCCCGCTTGTACTTCAGTCCTCCTATTTACATTTCCTTCTGCAGCTAGAAGGATGAGTACATGCCCCTCCCCCACCCCCACTCCCCAGTCCATCGTTCTTTGTATTGCTATCACTGTTGAGATGTATCTTGTGAACTTTCCTTCTGGCCTGAGGCTGATCCAGACATGCAATCCTCCAAATCCCAGCTTCGGCTTCCCACATCACAGGGCTGGAATGACAGATTCACACCACACCCGCCCAGCTATTGACAGGCATGGAGTCTTTTGAACTTTGTACCTTGACTAGCCTTGAGCCAGGATCCTCCCTAGTAGCAAGAAGGTTGAGCATGAGCCGCCACACGTGGCCCTATGCTGAATTTATTTTTGTATTAGGTATATATTCAGGAAGCACTCTATTAATGGTAGGTAGCTTCCAACAAGTTCCCACCAGGAGAAAGGGTCTTGGAATTATAGGCATCTATAAAGACTAATTGAAACTCTGCCTATATTTGATGCTATCTTATTTTAATGTTTTATTCATGCAAATGGAAGTCATATACAGTCCCTACAAGGTACAGCAGGTGGAATTGTCCAGCACATGAATTTGTTTTCAAAGGAAGCTTCAAAGGGCTTCAGAGGGCTTCCCAGGACGGTCTTTGATGGTTTAGTTTCAGCAAGGTGTGGTCCCAGGTGATGAATCATAATGCAGACTGACCTGAAATGTGTGTGTATGTACATACACATGTGTGTGCATATGTCATGTGTGTATATTTACTCATATGTGCACTGAGAAATGAAGCCATCCAAACCTTTCGCCATTAACAGACAGAGACGAAGCCAGTGCAAATGATGAATCTGGAGGCCACGTTCTGTATGGGCAACATAGATGACATCGGCTGTAAGATCATCGAGCTTCCTTTCCAGAACAAGCACCTCAGCATGCTTGTCCTGCTGCCCAAGGATGTGGAGGACGAGTCCACGGGCCTGGAGAGGGTGAGGAGGCAGGCGGAGCCCCAGGGCTGGGTGGGACTATGAGGGGTAGCTGTTTGCTTGCACTTACAGAGCACCAGGAATGGGGCTGAACGCTCCACATCCTCGTCCCCTTTACTTCTTTCCAGAGTGTTAGAAACTGTTGCTTATTCACAGGAGAGGAAAGGGAGACCCAGAAGGGAGGATAATTGGCTCTCTGTCATAGAACTAGTCCCGTTATCAACCGGGGCGAGGGCCTGCCCTCTGCTCAGCATTGGCCTCTCTGGGGAACACAAGTTCTTTATGTTTTCAGTTCGTAGATGTGTTTATTTTACTACAGCACTTTTATTTTATTTTTATTTAATTTATTTTATTTGTGAACATACTGTACAGAGGGGTTACAATTACATGGGCAGGATAATGCGTACATTTCTTACCAAGCATTGCAGCCTCCTCCT